AAGTAAATGCACACCTTTTGCTCGGTGATGTGTAAAGATCAGAGGCTAATTTGAAATTTCTACTTGTTACTTTTGTGAAATTCTATTATATGTAACTGTATGTTGCTTTCTTTTCTGCAGGGTCATGAAGAACTAGATGCTGCTAGCTTGCGTGAGCATGAGGAATTCATAAAGGTGAAAAATATTTCGACCATAGAACTTGGAAGATATGAAATTGAGACATGGTATTTTCCCCTTTCCACCAGAATATAATGATTCATTGAAGTTGTAATTTTGTGAGTTTTGCCTCAACTTCATGAAACGCAAAGAGCAACTTCAAAGGCATATGGTGAGCTTTGCTTCAATATAGTAATAAAAATTCCCCCTTACAATACTTAGGGTTGTATTAGTTTATAGTTACTTAATTGTTGACTATGTTCTAATTTCTTTATGGTAACCTTGAATATTGTAATGTGATTTTAATTTTTTTAATCATGAATATAAGTTTTGTTTACCACGTATCTTTGTTCTATATGTTTTGGCTAAAAGTAACTGAGTGTCAAAAGATTTGATAAGTGATGCATGACATTTCTTCTCTCCATGTATGTTGTGGATTAAAGTCAATGATCTTGTCTTGGAAAGTGATACTTCTCATCTTGTTGTTGTTTTGCTTAATTTGTGCATAAGACAAGAATTATCCTTCTATCGATCCTCTAATACTATACAAATTATGTAGGTGTAGATTTGTGAGTCGAGGTTTTCCTCGTTTTCGTTCCTTTTTGTCCTAATTGGTTAAGATATAAACAATTATGGGATGTGTAGTTTGCTTGCTAAACTGCAAGTATCTGGTTTTTAGGTATGATTGATTATCAATATATTTTTTTCTTTAAGTACCTGGAAATCACAAAAACTTAGTTAATGGTGCCGGTGTTATTATTTATTTGTTTCCCAAATGGTTAAGAACGGAGCTTTTGTTTTAAGATCAATATATGGAAAGAATAATCTTTATTCTCCACGTCTTCAATTAATATCTTAAATTGCATTCCCTGTAGTGTAATCACCTGTCTTATAACTTGATAGGATGGAATGTTGTACAGATGTAAGATATTGCTGCCTTGAAAAAAAAACTTTTGGAAATTCTTGGTGATATATGTGTGTGTGTGTATTGTCTTTGATTTTACCCCCATTCTAATTGCTGCAAGTTACAAATGGGGCAGGTAAAATCAATATTAACTCTCTGTTTAATTTTTACTCTGTAGAGGAAGTGTGATTTGAAGCATCTCCCTAGGGACGAAATATATCGAAGTGGTACACTGTCAATGTTCGAGGTATATTCTTGAAAAGCTTTTATTGCTGCTACTTTCTGTTCCAAATCTCAAAAATGAAAAAGAAAAGTCTTTCCTCATTCTAGTTAAGTAAAATCTATATGATTATGATTTTCTTTGAACTCACATTATTGCTTTTGCTTTTTGTAAGTTTAATTTTCTCTGCTTTTTGTTTTTACATAAAGTCAAATAATCATAAGATTTTCTTGAAAGATATTTTGAAAAAGGTGGTGTATGCTTTTTTCAACTTATAATACAAGCATATAAATGTTTTTCACCATTTTTCTTTTTCTTTTTCCTATATCTTTGTTGTGTTTTCCTGCTTAAACATGTCTTGTTATAGAATGCTGCAGATCTTTGCTAACATTGGTATTCCTTTGTTCAAATATTTTGAGACAAGTTGATGGCAAAAAGAACAAGGTTTATGGGCAGAATCTTTGTTATTTAGCAAAGTTGTTCCTTGACCACAAGACCCTTTATTACAACGTTGACTTACTTTTATTCTATGTTTTGTGTGAATGTGATGATCGAGGTTGCCATATGGTTGGATACTTCTCCAAGATAGCTTCTATGTTTTTGTTGCATATGATTTGATGCGGTCTGGAGTTAAAATAAACCTTATAAGTTTGTGGCTGTTTTAATATTTTTTTGTTGCAATCTACTATCTATAATAGCATCATATAGGTGATTTGATTTATAGAACTTATTGTCTATCCGTGAATTATAGCATAATTACCGATAATGTGTTGGTTAAAAACTTTGTAGTTCTAATATTCGGCTTTGCTTAAGATGTTGTGAATCTTTCTTATTTCTTAAATATATAAATATATGTATTTCATTGTTCACAGTATTTAGACTGCGTTACCCTAACACAAACAAAAATATATTAGCATTTTTCATCTAATCATGCAGGAAAAACATTCGAGGAATCCTATAATTTGGCATGTATCCTCTCCCTTACTCTATATCAAAGGAAAGGCTATGGAAAATTTTTGATTGCATTTTGTAAGCTCTATGCTTGCTATTTTCTTTTATGATTTTTTTTCCCTTGTGATCTGTCCTTTGGAATTTCATCCTATCGGTTATTAACTAGAGCTTTATTGCTTATTTTTCTTCGTTTTGGACCACAACATATGAACTCTCAAAGAAAGAAGGTAAAGTTAGCACACCTGAAAGTCCACTTTCCGACCTAGGTCTGTTGAGCTACAGAGGGTACTGGACAAGAGTTCTTTTAGACATCTTGAAGAAACATAAAGGAAATATTTCCATCAAGGTATCACCACTGAAGCCATATATCAAGTCTAGTGGGCTGTAATTTATGCAATTTCTTCTACTTTATCTATTGTGAAAACTTTAATTCCATAGTGAAGTTAAAAAATATTGTCATACGTCTCCTTTTTTTTCTTTTTTCTAATTTTTAAAAATTTATTTTAATATATCCTAGAAGGGTATGCCTAGTAAACTTGTTAGTGGATTTCAAAAATTTGGTTAGCAGTCGATGTGCTGCTGATATGAGTGGATGAGTAGACTAAAGCCTACACGGTAAATATTCTTGAGTTCAACTCAACTGGACCCAACTATCAGAAAATTAAGTTGCAAGTTTGATTAGGAAGACCTCATCTCCTATTCAATAATATATGAAAAGAGAAATTTTGAGATATTGGATTTGAAAATTAGAACATGCTAAGACTACTCAAACCACTTCAATTTGTCATGTGGATCGATTGTCTCTAAGAAAGGACAATGACATCGTCCTAGTGCCATATAATCCCAGGTTTGTTTTTTCATTTGATTATCAATATATTTTAGTAATTGTTTGTAGTGTCCCTGTCAGTCGGGAGGTACCGAGTGTGGATATTATGTTTGTAAGTTCATGAAAGAGATAATCGAGAACGGACTTGAAGTGATGGTTAATAAGAATGTAAGAAAACTTTTTTTATACACATCTGTCATATCATACATACACATTAGTCATACAACTATCATATGAACTTGAAGTAGGATGCTATTCTAAACAAATTAATGCAAGTACATGTTAGCAAGACTGAAAACTGTGAATTCGTGCCGTGATAATGTATATAATTTATATGGGAAGTTTTACTAATTAAATGTGTAAAATTTATTTTTACATATGCTTCAAAGAATGCATATGTAAAATTGGTCATTTTAGTACTCTTTGATAGTTATATACTTCACTTTAAATAAGTATAAATTATATACATATTTCAGATTTTTTACTTAGGTTGGCGATGGGAAGGAAGAATACACGGATGATGACATTGATGATATTCGCAAAGAATGGGTATCTTATGTGGCAAACTTTATTATGCCGTGTTATTTTGTATCGACATATGATTACAATATTTTTGATAACTTAATGTTAATATATTGTATGCAAATGGATTGCTTATATATAATATGATATATATTTAGTATTATGAGGCATTAAATGTGATTTAGTTTGATTATTTATCAATCTACAATATATATATATATAATTTATGGCATACAATCACGACACACGAATGTGTGTCATCTCTTTTAATGACGTGTGCTTCAATGACACGCAATGTAAGTCGTAAATGCGTGTCATAAATTTATGACACAAATGTGTGTCATCTTCATTTATGACGGGGGCTTCAATGATGCTTAATGTGCGTCATAAATGCGTCTCATAAGTGCGCGTCATAGATTTATGGCACACAATTGTGTTTTATATGAGATTTATGACGGTGGCTTCAATGACGCGCATTTGTGTGTCATCTGCACTAATAGATGACGCGCAATGCGCGTCATTAAAGAGGTTTTTTCTAGTAGTGAAACATGCAAAATGAATATAAAATTTTATTTCTGGTCCATAGAATGTTATATATGAGATATGCATTTACTATTTCTAGTTTCTTTTGTGTTAGTTTGGCTGACAAGTTGCCTTTTTCTTTTGGATACACTTGGCTGGTGGAACGGGTTAACATTCCAGCAAGAGATTGATTTACTGAAGGTAACTCCCACTTTTAACTGTTTCTTGGGTCTATTAATCTATTTTGGTGCTTCTTGTACTTAAATATGCTACATCAAAATTCTCTCTTTCTTATTTGATGTATGGGTTTGCCATATGTGTGCTGAAGATGTCTTATTGCCTGTTGTCTGTGACTATTAATCCCTTTTAATTTCCTCTTGTCCTTTATTTGTTGTTTACTGATAATCTTTGTTGTAGTTGTCTGCTGCTGGTTGGAATACATGGTATAAAGTGTCAGTATCTTGCCGATGCTCATTAAAATTTGAGCTTCTTCGCAGAATTTGAACCATAAAAACATTGTGAAGTATCTTGGATCTTCGAAGACAAAATCTCATCTGCATATAATTCTTGAGTAAGAAATAGAAACCTTACGTTGTGATTGCATGATCTCTGAGATATTAGAAACTTATAGTTATTGTTTCACATTTTAATAGGTATGTGGAGAATGGTTCTCTTGCTAACATTATCAAACCCAATCAATTTGGGCCTTTTCCAGAATCATTGGTGGCTGTTTATATTTCCCAGGTTTGTATTTCTGCAATTTTCTGCTTCATTTCCCTATTCAAGTATCAGATGGATATGCTAACGACTTGTTAAACAGGTTTTGAAAGGCTTGGTTTACCTACATGAACAAGGTGTTGCAACCAAACTAACTAAGGCTGATATTAACACGCACTCGATTGTTGGAACACCATATTGGATGGCCCCAGAGGTAGTTCTTTGGTTCCAACTGATGATTGGAGTGTGGCTTTTAATTGTCAAACTTGTTTCTCCAAGTTTTCACGTGTGATTTGTGTGGTTTATGGATGCCTTACATTGGAAGTTGAATTATATTTCAGGTGATTGAAATGTCAGGGGTATGCGCTGCTTCTGACATTTGGAGTGTTGGCTGCACTGTAATTGAACTCCTTACATGTGTGCCTCCTTATTATGATCTACAGCCTATGCCAGCTCTCTATCGGATTGTGCAGGTTTGTCTGGCATTTATATTGTCACAATTTTTTTCATAAGAGTAAAGTCTTCTCTGAGTTTTTGTTTTTCTTTTCCTACCTACTGATTAAATCGTTCCATATCTTATTTTTACCGCTTAAGAATGCTTTAACAAGCACATTTTTTTCAATGTCTTTTTTACCCTCGCAGGATGAACATCCACCAATACCTGACAGCCTATCTCCAGACATTACCGACTTCCTGCGCCAATGCTTTAAGAAGGCGAGTGGAAGAAAAATGAAGTTCCGATTTGTAATACAGATTTGTGAGGATATACCGCAAGTGCTGGATTCAGATGTGCCTGGGTTAGTTGAAAGGCCTATCAACATATTTCTTCCTCGGTTATTTCAGGTGAAATGCGTATTTGTATTTTTAAATTGTCAGCATTTTAAAACTTTCTAACTATATCTGTTTTTCTATGAGCAGTTTTTTCAGTGTCCCCATGCCTCTCTGAGAAAGCTATCATTGGGTTCTGTAAACCAATATATTATGTTGATGCCTTCTGTAAGTTAACTTAGAAGTTATAACCTTTTATATTCTTCTTGTGATGGATGTTATTCTGAATTTCTGATGCTTTCAGAGTAATACTTGAATTGTGCCCTAATTTCTTTCAGGCCTTATATACATCCATGGATAAATACCTTCATGGTTTGTTTGCCCTTACTAATGACCCTGCTGCAGAAGTGCGATAATTGGTGAATAGTTTCTTCTTTTCTCATTTATTCTTATTGTATTGATAATCTAATATTTTCCATGGAATACTCCACTGTAAATATTTCCTAATTTTCCTTATCATTTCTGATTTTATGATTTGAACACTTATTTTGAATGCATTGTTAGAATCAGAAATGTTTTGTCATCTAGTCTTCGATATTAATGGTTCTTTTTTTTTTCCTATCACGAGCCCTTTTGCAGCGTTTGTATCCAAAAACATCGCTATAGATCTAACCTTTTGTGGCGTTTGTTACAAAAACGCCGCTATAGATCTGACCTTTTGTGGCATTTATTCCAAAAACACCGCTATAGATCTCGACCTTTTGCAAAAACGCCGATATAGATCTGACCTTTTGCGACGGTTGTTCCAAAAACGCCGCTATAGATATCAACCTTTTGCGATGTTTGTTCCAAAAATGCCGCTATAGATATCGATCTTTTGCGGCATTTGTTCCAAAAACGCCGCTATAGATATCGACCTTTTGCGGCGTTTTTTGTTCTCAAACGTCGCTAACTTTAGCGGTGCTGGTATGGCCGACGCTTCTTGCATCGTTTTTCCTATCGCCGCAAATGCTTTTAGCAGCGCTTAAAAACACCGCTATAGGACTAAAAAACACCGTTAAAACTCTGTTTTGCTGTAGTGCTATAGTTTTTTATTTATGGATGAAATATTCAAATAAATTACAAATAAAGATGACCGACTGACACACATAGAAATTTTTACCAGGAAAGGAAGAATCCAAGTGGACACTAGTAAAAGAGGAACATGTTATGGGATCATTCCTCCCCCGTTCCCAGGTCTTTCGCCACCATAGATAGGCCTGACAAAGAGTGGCCGTGGCGGCGGCGGTGTTGCTACTGGTGGCAACGGTGATTCTTGATCCCCTACCGATATCTGCGGCCCTGGTGGTGTATACCCGGCTTGTTTTGCTCTTTGAGGTTTTGGTGCTGGATAAATAATGCTCCAAAACGTGTCGAATCACAACCTTTGGGCGGCTCGGAAGGAATGCAGAGGAATTTCGCTGCCATTGCACGTTCGACCACCGATTCCATCAAGAATTCCGAAGTCCAACAGTGTTAAGATTACAACGAAGGAACCTTTCATTCTAGTATTATTATGTACGAGATAAGCTGACCACAATTCCAACTCTCGTATATATAAGCATATATAAGGACTTAATTAATTGAATTTAACTTATTTAATGAACTTGAGTAGAAATTGTTTAATTAATAATCTGTCGATTATTGAAAGCTAATTATTATTTTATTACCTCGTGTGTTAGCTCAATTACGCGGTTTAGATAGATTGCTTGATTTCAAGAATGTATATAGGACATTTGATGGGGAGAATCAATTAAAATTTGTAGAATGTAGATAGGACATTTTTATTTCTAATATCATAGTTACTTTTTATTATTATTATCATTCTATCTCATTAAAATTTTAATAAAATAATTATAAATGCTATCATTATAAAATTTAATATTTTTAAAATACCTTCACTAGAAGTGTTAAGATTGAGTAATCTTTAGTATTCATATATCATTGAATAATTATATATATATATAAGGTAGAACATCATGACATGCAAAAGTCTAACCTTGAAATAAAGGTTACAACCAATTTTGAAAATAGCATGTGATTATGATATGTTTTAAATATTTGTTTTTAAATTAAAGTATTATTTTTATAATAAAAGTTACTCATACCAAATACCAAACACTCGTTATTTCAAAAAAGAAAAATCAAAATGATAATAAATAATGAAAGTTACTGATACCAGATACTCATTAATCATTATTTCAAAAGGAAATGGTAAGTAGTAATAAATAGTGAAAATCAACACTACCAAATACTAAATACTTATTAATTTTTTTTTAAAAAAAGAACTAAATAGGAGTAAAAAATAATAAAAGTTACTAGTACCAAAGAGTAATATTTTTTTAACCAATATCACTTATCGACTTTAGATACGGTAAATAAATAAAATATTATATTTAAATAATTATCATTAAACAAAAAACAATTTTGATATACGAATACAAAAATAAAACCTTTAAATATTTATTTTAATAAAAAACATTTAAATAAAGTTGATCCATCGTAAATATCCATATTCTCTTTGTATGAGAAATTGAACAGCTTACCATAGAAGTGTTTTCACTTTCCAGCAAGAGATTGAAAATTGGGGTTGAGGAATAACCTAATGTTGTTCAGGAGTCATATCCATCACACATTTTGCTTTGAGAGTATATAAACTAGTAGAAAACTTTATTCACTATAATTAATGATCTAATTATGAGTAGCTCCATCCTATTGAAATAAATACAAGCTGGACACAGCTCTTTGATTCGTAGAGCTTTGTGTTATCATTTCTTTTGGTGTTTCAAATGGTTCTTCAGTCGGCCATGAATCTCCAATTCTTATCATATGTCATATTGTTCTTAGTTTCTTTTTCTTGTAGTTAAATTAATGGTTTCCATCAAAAAGCATTCCAAGCTTCCGCCAGGTCCAGTGTCGTTACCGATCGTCGGCCACCTCCATCTCCTCTCCCCCTTCATTCATCAATCTTTCCACAAGCTCTCCTCCATCTACGGCCCCTTGATGTATCTCCGCATTGGGTCCAACGACTGCATTGTGGCTTCTACCCCGGAGCTCGCCGAAGAGCTTCTCAGAACTAACGAGCTCACCTTCTCCGCCCGCAAGCACAACGCTGCCATAGACCACCTTACTTACAACAGCTCCTTTGCATTTGCACCCTATGGACCTTACTGGAAATTCATCAAAAAGGTTAGCACTATTGAGCTGCTAGGGCATCGCACCCTAGGCCAGTTTCAACCTATTCGAACCCAGGAATTACATCATTTCATAACCTTCCTCCTTGACAAGTCTAAAGCACTTGAAACAGTTAACTTAACCGAAGAACTGTTGACATTAACCAGCAACTTTATATCTCAAATGATGCTCGGTATTAGGTGCTCGGGAACAGGAGAACATCCCGATGGCGTCCGAACCTTAGTGCGAGAAGTGAGTGAGATCTTCGGGGAATTCAACGTCTCGGACGTTATATGGTTCTGCAAGCACTTGGATCTGCAGGGGATCAGAAAGAGATTTGAGGATATTCATACAAGGTACGATACATTGTTGGAAAAGATCATAAGTGACAGAGAACAAGTAAGAAAATTAAAGAAACGAGATAACGATGATGAAGTCAAGGATTTTCTAGATATGTTGCTTGATGTCTCTGAAGATGCTCACTCGGAGGTTCAATTAACCAGAACTCATATCAAGGCCTTAATCTTGGTTAGTATGCAAGTGCTTTTGACTTTTCCTTATTTATCTTTTACTGAAATCTATTCATTCATATACTCCTGTTAGCTTGACAGTGACAAATGCAAGTAATTTTTGTAGGACTTCCTAACAGCCGGTACAGACACAGGTGCGAGTTCGATAGAATGGGCACTTGCGGAGCTCATAAACAACCCAGAAGTGCTAAGGGAAGCTCAGAAAGAGATTGATCAAGTTGTGGGAAAAGACAGGTTGGTTCAAGAATTCGACACTGGTCGTCTCCCGTACCTTCAAGCCATAATTAAAGAAACATTTAGGCTTCACCCACCAATCCCAATGATAATCAGAAAGGCCGTTGAGGAATGCAAAATCAATGGATACACAATCCCAGCTCAGTCATTGTTGTTTGTAAACATGTGGAGCATAGCCAGGGATCCTAAGGTGTGGGAGGATCCCTTAAAGTTTCAGCCCCAGAGGTTCTTCATTGATAATAATACTATAGATGTTAAAGGCTTCCATTATCAACTACTGCCTTTCGGTACAGGGAGGAGAGGCTGCCCTGGTATGTCTTTAGCCATGCTGGAGCTGTCCGTTACCCTGGCAGCCATGATTCAATGCTTTGAATGGAAGGTGGCGGAGACGGCGAATACTGGCAGTGGAAGTGTCTGTGTTGACATGACTGAGCGGCCTGGACTGGTAGTACCCAGGGCTAATGATCTCAAGTGTGTTCCGGTTGCACGCTTCACTCCCACTCTCTTTACATCTTAAGCAATTGCAAATTGCCCAAAGATCTGGTGACATTTTTATGCATTGAATAAGTATACATGTATTCCCTCAGCCAAAATAAGCAAGTGTGTGGTTGAAAGGCGCTATTCAACTTGCACTGAATATTGGTGTTTTCCATGAGTTGTACGCTACCGTTGTTCTTTTCTGCACAACCATCCCACCATCTAATACAGATATACAGTTACAAAATGGTTGTCTTTTTATTAAGTTTACACGTGTTCGATTCTGGCATTGCTAATTTAGTTTTTAAGTTCATGGAATGTAGATAAGAGGTATGGATTCCACATGGATCACTACAGCAAAACAAACAAGGATAAAATGTTTGTTGTGCTTTAATATTTTTTGTGTTTTTAATTGTTTTCTTCTTTCAACAGATACATTTTATTATTAATAGAAATTAAAAGAAAAATGATAAATTACAGACTTTACAACTCCAAATCACACCATTATAAAAAAAAATAAAAGCATATAATTATTAAACTTCCCTAAATTAGAGTCATATATGCTCCTTCAAATCACCAAAACTCAACACCACCAGCAGGTCGTATTCAGAAGCATGAGGGGAACAACACAAAACCATCCAGTACCAAACAATTATTTATGCATATATAAATTTATATGATCGACAATCTTTATTTATCTATTTATATGATCAACAAGTAATAATGACATATATATATATATAGATATATTCCTTTCAACTTCATTTATATTTGACGATCGCGGACACTTAAAGAAGATGGAATGGAGGACTGTACTCTTTTGATCATGTCGAAGGCGGCGGCTCCTGTGGTGATGGCATCCGATGTTGACGAGATGCGCCACTGACAATCGGGGAAGGTGGTGACCGTGCGGGAGGTTTTTTGCGGAGTTCTGAAAGCATTACATATTTTGAAGATCCGGGAAATGCTTTAATGGCTTCAACGCTTAAACCAGTATCGGATGTTAACAGGCCCAAGATCAGAAAGACTGCGAAAAATCCTGAAAAGGCAGACATTGTTGCTGGTTATTGAAGGCATCAGACTGCAAATAATTGCTATTTTTATATGCTGTAAAAGGTTTATTAAATTCTCGAGCTTTAATAAACCTTTTACAACCTGCGCAACCCATTATTCTCTTGTCGTTCACATTATCCATGAAAGAATATTGAAAGACTCCATTATGACCTTTATCAACTAATTAACTACTGTCGTGCAATATTATAGTTCCCATTTGTAATATTTATTTAATTTCAGTACATTTTTTATTTGTTAAATATTACAATGGAATTCAATTTTTAAATTTTAGGGTAAACATCCAAAGGTCATTAAACTGTTGTCTCGATCATATTTTTACCACTCAACCAGAAATTTATCAAATAAATCATTAAACTGTAATTTGATTTCAAACAAATCACCCACCGTTAAAAGTTAACGTGTCAATTAACTAAATTTGTTTAATAAGATGTTTAATCCTCTTTAGTTATTTATTCAATACTTGATCAAGGATGATAAATTATGTCTATATTTCTTTTTATAGAAAGCCACTAGTTTTATTAAAAATAAAAAATCCAGAATTATAATGAAAATCTACAAGTATAAACGTAAGCTAAATTATAATTTAGACATTTTCCTATAACATTTAACACAAAAAATAATCACCCAAATCACACAAGGACCATAAAAGGAAAATATTAAAAACCTAACTAATGCTTGAACTAAATAAAGATACGAATAAATCTGATTACATCGGCAAACAAACCACAAAAGATGATGAAACTACTGAAAGACCACCGATAAATCACAAATCATAGTCAAGCGATGTGAGAAAACTATCCACGAGAGCAAAACGCGTATCCAAATCAATCCAATGGTCCAAATCAAGAAAGATCAGTATGATAACAAGTAAGTGTCATCTTGATCAGTCGTAATGATATCAACAACCAAACGATCTAAAACTATCAAAGGCAAAGAAAAACTTACCACAAAGCCAAAGTTAAACGTGTCATAAAGGCATATATAAACATGTCACAAAGACATAATTATTCTTATTAAAAAATTAAAAAAACAAAGAGAAAAGACAATCGTCGATCGACAATCAGTATCAAAACCAGTGACGCCATTGGCTAAACAAAATCAAATAAAAAAATTGATTTGATTTTAGCACAAATTGTAAAGGAAAAAAAGGAAGAGAAGAAAGGGGAAAGGAGAGAGCGGCTAGGATTTCAATTCGTTAGTGTATTATAAAAAACATATAATATTATTTGTGTTTGTATTTTTACCTAGGTTTGAATTCTCTCAATCTCATTTTTATTTCTTTTATTTTTCATCAATAAGAAAAAGTATATAAAAAATGTTGTCAACGATAAATTAAATAATGAACCTGACTTAGTGGTTAGGTGTTTTTGAACTATCTTTTCCAAGATCAATGTTAATTTATTAAATTATTTTTAATGCAAATTGAGATTAAATTAATAGAATATTTAATTAATTACGATCAAATATACTATTATAAAATTTGCATAACTATCATGTTAACAGTTTCGTTAACTGTCGGTGGGTTGAGACAATCCCAGCTCAATGCTTGTTGTTTGTAAACACGTGGAGCACAGCCAGGGATCCTAAGGGCTGGGATGATCCCTTAAAGTTTCAGCTCGAGAGGTTCTTCGTTGATAATAATAGGGTAAACTATACGGGTGGTCACTCAACTACGATATAAAATTATTTTGATCACTGATGTTTTAATTTGATCAAACAAACTATCTAACTATTTACAAGTTTCTATCAAGCCACCGCCGTTAACAGTCAATGAAACAGATGACGTGACGGTTAAAAATATTTTGGTATAATTATACAATTGGTCCATATTACTTATATATATTAATCTATCAGTTTGATTCTCATTTTAATAAATTAAAATATCGACACATATCATCATTCGATTGGAAAACCAAATTTATTTTAATTTATTTTTAATTTAAAGATTTACTTTCCTCTACGAGGGTGACATTGAAAAAGAAAATAAACCAACACATATATAGAGGAAGTTGAGATCTGAATCCAAGTCCCCTTAGATGGAGAAGGAAACACCAAACTATTAGGTCAAGACAACCATTTGGTTATATTTGTACAACAATTAATATATATCTTGTATCTTAGTAAATTTCTCTTTAAACAACAATTAATATAGTACAAATATAATATTTTTTATTAACAAAAATATGAATACAATATTTTATATATCATAATTCTTAAATTTTAAATTTTTATTATTTTTGTCTTCACTTATGAAATATATTTTATTTTTGTCTTAACCTATTAAATATATTTTATTTTTATTTTAATGTAAAAATATATATTTTATCTTTATCTTCACTTAAAAATATTTTTTATTTTTATCTTAATTTTTAGAAATATATTTTTAAAATATATTAACTTAAAATATTTTATATATTTTATTATTATTTTAATATGTTTTATATATTCATATTTTTTTGTTAATGTCAAAAAATATTAATTTTCATTTATTAATTATATTATTTGTTGTCTAAAGAGAAATTTACTAAGATACAATATATATATTTTTTGTTGTATAATGATAACCAAATGACTCCTTGCCCCAATGGTTTGGTGTTTCTTTCTCTGCCCAAGGAGACTTGGGGTTCGGATCTCAACTTCCCTCATATATGCGTTGGTTTATTTTTTAAAATTAAAAATAAATTAAAATAAATTTAGTCTTTTAATCGAACGATGACACATGTTATTATTTTAATTTATTAAAATGAGAATTAAATTAAAAGAATATATAAGTAACATGAACCAATCGTGTAATTATACCAAAATATTGTTAACTGTCATATCACCTGTTCCATTAATTGTTAATGGAAGATGGTTTGATTGAAGTATTTAAATAGTTAGATAGTATGTTTGATTAAATTGAAACATCGGTGGTCAAAATGATTTTTGACTATAATTGAGTGATCACACGTGTAGTTTACCCTACTAAAGGCTAATGATCTCAAGTGTGTTTCAGTTGCACGCTTTGGATAATTCTACAATGCGACACCCATAATATATGTTAAGGAAAGACGCTATCGGTTTTGTTATTATTTTTTTAATAAAACCGGTAAAAGATTACATAAAACATTATTATTTCTACCTAAAACATTAATATTTTTTAATAATTCCAGTAAAATTCCCAATAATAACAAAACTATTAGAAAAAATAACAAAACCAGTAGCGCTTTACCAGATTTGTTAATAAAACCGGTAAAACGCCCAATAATTTTAAAACCGATAGAAATAATAATGTTTCTGGTAATTTTTTACCGGTTTTATTAAAAAATAATAATAAAACCAATAATATATTTTTTAACTGTATATTAAGATTACCGCATGTGATAATTTCTCGCACGCTTTACGGCCACTCTCTTTGAATCTTAAGCAAGCAATTGCCCAAAGATCGGATGACATTTTTATATGCATTAATTGAATAAGTATCCCCTATTAGCCAAAATAAGCAAGCGTCTGGTTGAAAGACGCTATTCAACTAGCATTGAATGATTAATATTGGTGTTTTCATGAGTTGTAAGCTATCCTTGTTTGTTTTTTCATTACCATCCCACGATCCAATGAAGATAATCCCTTAGAAGATGGTTGTTGAATAACGTAAGATTACAATATAACAATAAGTTTTGTTTTTTTATTTTAAATTTAATCATTCTAGAAGTACATATAAAACATAAAACCCTCTTCACATATTTGTACATCTATTTGTTTCGTTTATCTAAAATAATTAGTTTACATTGATAGTTATTTTTGTAATTTATTTTTAATAGACTTGATAATATTATACCTGACATAAAAATATGTTAATTTGCGTAATAACGTATGCAATTACTTATTTAAACATTATTTAAAATATTATTTATGATATAAAATTTGAATAGAATCTAATGAAAAGAGTTGTACAAATTTTTATACCAATATATAACAAAGGTGCTAAAGGGTTATAGAAATGTTTCACACATGCAATTAGATATTTCTTGTGGAGTAGATTCACTACTAGAAAAAACCCCTTTAATGACGCGCATTGCGCGTCATCTATGGGTGCAGATGACGCACAAATACTTGTCATTG